CTGGGTGAATACATCTCATATTATTACATTATTAGTCAGGCGTTAAAATAACACTATTTTTCAGTTTAACATTGGTACTGCTTCAATTTCATGTGGCCTAATTACACACTATTAAATCATCCTGATTCAAGCCTAGCCTCAACTTAGTATGCCAGTTTTATTATCTTTCCCTTACTTTAAGGACATGGAGACTCGTAGCACCAGTGAGGCCAAAAGGCTTCGGCAATTTGACGATCATTGCGCCGTCACTCAGCGCCAACTAGACGAGATTACATCAATTCTGGAAGATCGTGAAGCCCAGCTCTCCAGAACAACCGGCGTCGGATCCGAACTTGAAGAGAGGCTGAAAAGAATTAAGGTCAGTTTTTTGACTTGCTATGCCGGCTTGATGACCACGGGTTGACCGCTTTTACTTTTGCCATCTCGCGAGCTTTCTCGAAATTCCCTGCCCAAACTTGGCCCACTCATTGCTATTACTTTAGTCTGTCGAGGGGATGCAAATAATGTAGGGTTTTCGTGTATGTATGTATGTATGCATATATATATATATATATATATATGTCTGTCTATCTGTCTGTTTTCATTAACGGACTAACTGAAGTATTCTTTTGAGTGGTCAAATTTTTCAAAATTCAGGAGCTGGACTGTGTTTCTAAAATCTTGAATACGCCCAAGAGGCCTTAATTCTTCTTCTGTAGCCCTTTATCGTATACTCTTGTATCTGGCTTCATATCTCTTCTCAGTTTCATTTTACTATTTTCTCTCATTCACCCGTTTCCCTTGATCCTCTTTGCTGTTTCTTTTCTTCATTTCGGCTTGAGGGGATATTTTCACCGCCTCTCACTTTGGCCATATCCCTTTTTTGTGCTTTCCATTAATAAAGTGCTTTGCGTCTTTATTTCATACATATTTCTCTTTATATTGTTTTGAAGCTACTCGTTTCTTAAAAGTTTTGACCTTGCCGGATCTTTTCTATTGCCTTTTTCTGCTGATTTTTTCATCTAATTTTTCAGGCACCTTTTTCACATTTCACTTTCAACCCCATTTTTCACCATTTTCCATATTTCTAACATTCTTGAATTACCTTTTTATCTTATATCCTATTCCTATTAAAGTCGTTTGACCTTGTTTTCGCAACTCGGTCATATTGGTAGGAAGACTTAGAGGAACGCACCTAGTCCGAAGTTC